ACTGGCTCACTGCAGCGTCCACCTTCTGGGTTCAAGCAATTCTTGTGCCTCAGCCTCCCAAGTAGCTGGGACTACAGATGCTGCATCATCGCCCCTGGCTAGTTTTTTGTTTATTCGTTCTTGTATTTGTATTTTTGGTAGAGACAGGGTTTCTCCATGTTGGCCTGGCTCGTCTCTTAACTCCTGGCCTCAAGTGATCCACTCGAATCAGCCTCCCAAAATGATGGAATTACAGGCATAAACCACCACATCCAATACCCCACTTAGAAAACTATTCACTTAAACTCTGAACTTCCATAGTATGATCAACCTTCTCCTTTGGGTTGTTTGTTGAAAATTTAAGAGACAGCTGTTGAACATCACTGGTTTCTGAGGCAATTGATACAGTTAGGGCAAACAATAAACATACTAAAGCTTAAAAGGAATGAGAAGTCCAGTAGTAGAATGAAAAATCTAGTGGACTTTAAATAACTGTGAGTTGTTCCTAATAATCTTGAATATGATATTGCCAGGTCTGTGGCCCTGCTGAAGAAAAGCTTGGCAAGACCTTACGCCCACACTTTGTCTTCAAGTTCTGCCCAAATAAGAAATAAAAGCCAGTGTAGGCCGGGCACAGTGGCTGATGCCTGTAATCCCAGCACTTTGGGAGGCTGAGGCAGGCAGATCACGAGTTCAAGAGATCGAGGCCATCCTGGCCAACACGGTGAAACCCTGACTCTACTAAAAATACAAAAAAATTAGCTGAGCGTGGTGGCATATGCCTGTGGTCCCAGCTATTCAAGAGGCTGAGGCAGGAGAATCGCTTGAACCTAGAAGGCGGAGCTTCCAGTGACCCGAGATTGCACCACTGAACTGCAGCCTGGTGACAGAGCAAGACGCCATCTCAAAAAAAAAAAAAAAAAAAAAGCCAGTGTATAAACAGGCTGAATGAATGTTTCAGTCTGCATGTAGAGCCAAAAGTTGCTGGTTCTATACATCTCTGTCAAGTCATACGCCAAATACTTATCTAACTAGATAGACTGTTAAATTGCTGCATATGACAAAACACACACACGTACTTACAGGATTATAAACTTTTCTAAATGAAAAGTCAGAGGACTGTTGTTTACTAAGTAATAGTAAAACAGTCATAACAAACATTAGGGAAAGGAAGAATCTGTTACAGTTGGCACATTGTATTATTTTAAATGTTCAGTTTTCAATAACAAAAAATGAGACAGGTACAAAACTAAAAAAAGCACAGCCTATACAAAATAAAAAGCACAGCCCACAGAAATTCATT